TGTTTTCTAGCAAAATGCCGCGCTGTTCTGGCCAATGTGGGATGGGGGGAGGAACAGGTGCGGGAGGGTATAAGAGGAATGACAGGTGGGTGTGTTGTTTTAGGTTCCGTTGGCGGGCGATAGTAAAGTTCGGGAAGAGACTTGTAATGGTCTGTTTTTGTTACTTTTTCCAGTGAGCACACAGCGCTGCGTTTTACAACCCTTTTCTTTCGTGTTTTTGTGCGCCTGAATAAAGCCAAGAAAACACAGAGACGGTGTTGTCCTCATTGTCAGGCTAGGTGCCAGCACACAGCTGGATAGTAGTTGCACAGTTAGGTTAGGATCGGACCAGCTCTCCTCAACCGGGCCAGCGGTCGTCACAATATTTATATACTGTGATGGTAGGCGTTTGGCAGTGACCGGATCTGCATGTGTCAAAAAAAGATGCCAGCTGACGCCCACCTGCAGCCCAAGCTAGTGACCTAAATGTCACGCCCATATACTACGTGTCCTTAATATTTCTGACTGGTGTTTTGCTACAATGAAGTTCACATCCTATTGTTGTTTTTCGTACGTGGGACAAGTTAAAAGTTTTCCTGAACGCATCTTACTAGTTGTTGACAGCCATATTGGGCAACTAGCGAACTGAGCTAACTGATTACCACCGTGCTAACGTTTCCAAGAAAGCAAAGCGGCCAACGGATAAAACGCGGTAGGGAACACTAACAGTATGTTAAGCTATGTCAGTGAGGTATTACAAACCAATTGTTTTCGGAGCATGAACTATAACTTCAGCGAACGAGACTATCTTCCTTTGCTAACACCCCAGCAGTACAAATAGTTGCTTGCTTAGCTGGTTAGCTCCAAACAACACAACAAACCAACCTGGGCCTGCTGTGGTGATTGCGCATTCTTCTGCGGTGACTGCTCCTCGTTTATCTTCTGCTTGAGTTTTTTAAACATTTTGTCGCGCCGATGTAGCTAACGGCTGATGAGCAGAAGACTACGTCCCTTTGGAGATGTACTTTATTTTAGTTTAGCCTAACCTCCACTCCTCAGTGCTAGACTTCCTTGTTCGCCTCTGATTTCCAGCAGGTGACAGGAGCCTCTGCGCATGTGCGGCCAACGTGGAAGAAAACTGAAACGTCAGAGTTAAAGGGACAGTCTGACCTAAATTGACTACAGCGCCACCCATGTAGGAGCAAAATCCCTCCAGTGATTCAAAATACAGGGAGCTCTTGCGACAGCTCTTGTTGGTATTATGGTTACATTTGTTCTCTAATTGTAGCCCATTATTAGTTTATAATAAGGTTCCTCTATAAGAAAGAAGTGGAGTAGTCTACAGGCTGACTCTACTGATCACAGGAACATTACAACTTGTTACAGTTTGATTTCTTTAGAATAAAGTGTTGCTTTTATTTCCTTCTTTTCCAGATCTCCATAATGCAATTTTGAAAATCCAAAATACATTGTGAATCATGTAATGCCAATGCCAATACAGATATACACAATTAATATTATGACTAGTAAAATGCTATTTTAAATATCTAGAGTAGAGTAGAGTAGAATAGAATAGGTACTTATTGATCCCACAGTGGGGAAATTTCTGTGTTACAGCAGCAAAGAACAACCAACATAACACCATAAGAACAGACACCACCATAAGAACAGACACATAAGAACAGGACTTCATAAAAACACGGAAAAGAACACAACAAGGACACAGCTGTTGTAACTTGCTGCCACTCCGTGCCACAACAAAGAACACTTAGTCTTAAAATAAACAGTTACATAAAGGCAACATAGCATCAGAACTGATACACACAAGTAGCAACATCAAAACGTTACATTTTACACAGCACAAATAAGCAAATCAAAGGCACCTAAAAACAGGGCAGAGCAGCACTGGAGAGAATCAGGAACAGCAGTAGAGACTAAACAACCAGGAAATCAAGAACAATCGAATATTACTCTCATAATTAATCCCACATTGGGGGGAGAAACCTGTGTTTCAGCCATAAGGATCTCTGGGCAACTACTCAAAAATACCTAAAGCAGGGCAATGTACAGTATTTGAGAGAGATCAGGAACAAGGTATTACACATGAGCCTATTTACAATGCATTTCACACCCAGGAGCTGAATATCTACAATTAGAACTATGACTAGTAATTAAATATAATTGCTGATATCCACAAATATATTGTGGATTCCTAAACTACCTGGGAAGCCCAAAACATATGAATGCCAAAAGTGACATTACTTGTAGGAAAAATGTCTGTTCTCTTTGACTAGGGAAGAACTGAATTACTGATATTTGAGATTCTTACAGTATCCAGCTTAGCTAAAGGCCACTTATACCTTTTAAGGAGTTTTAGATATCTTAAATTTAGTTTTGACTAGTACAATTAAAGTAATAAATATCTTGAAATGTCATTTCTACTATTAACAATATCATTCTGACTAGTGCGAATAAGAGTTTGACCAAGAGCAATGCTGTTATGAATAGCTAAAAGGTAATTACAGATGGGAGTGTGTTTTGATTAAATGTTTAAATGGTTTGCCAGTCTGTAGGCTTGCTCTTCATCTGAGTCATAATGTCTTTGGGTAGTGTAATGAAAACAGAAATTGATAGAAGAGATCACGGTGTGGGTGTGAGTCATGATATAAATATATGATAGTTTCCTTCTCTTTGGATGTGGCCATGTGCAATAAATAAACATTTCTGAGTCAGACCTTGCTGTCTGGTGGAGAAAGAATATAAGACATGCATATATTTAGGGCCACTGAAATGCATTCAGCATGACTTTTGATCTATGATGGCTGCCTGGTACAGTGAGTATGAACAATGGGTGGTTAATAGCAGAGTGATGCTCCCCTGTATCATGCAGTAGTTTATGTTTCACCCTGTGGCATACAGGACAGAAGATATGTGCACAGTGGACCTGGCTGCTACATATCTGCTAAGGCAGTTTTGCTTTAGACTACTTCTAAACAGCAAGTTACAGTAGTTTCACAATACAGTTAATATAGTTCTGTCCTCCTATATTTATGTACTGTAATGGCTCTGATGTTGCTTGCATGAAGTTCAGAAAAGCCTCAATACACTTGCACTGTTGAAACTGAAACACTGTAATGCAATGGATTTTAAGTAGTGAATAAAGTGATCTCTAAAACTGTCTCTGAATAAGGTTCATAATGAGGTTCTAAGTATTCTTCACTTTCAGTGGTATGACATGATCCTTGTCACCAGGCTGATTTTGCTCACTTGCCATTCTTGGCCTTGGAAGCAGCATTTGACAATATATCCCTCCACAAGGTCCATTTAGTGGCTGTGTGATCCAATCATATTTCATATGTAACTAAGTATATTTACTCAAGTGCAATATACTTAAGTATAGTTTTCATAGTATTTCATTGGTAAATACTAAACGTTTTAGCTAGATATACTGTGTGTGCAGGAGACCGGGTGGAAGGGTAGCAAAGCACGTAGCATTGGAGGGGGATACAAACTGTTTTATTATGGTGTGGACAGGAAGAGAGATGGGGTAGGAGTGATCCTGAAGGAGGGGCTCGTGAGGAATGTTTTAGAGGTGAAAAGAGTATCAGACAGGGTGATCAGTTTGAAGTTGGAAATTGAAGGCGTAATGTTGAATGTAGTCAGTGGTTATGCTCCACAAGTAGGGTGTGAGTTAGAAGAGAAGGAGAGATTCTGGAGTGAGCTAGATGAGGTGATGGAGAGTATTCCCAGAGGGGAGAGAGTGGTGATTGGAGCAGACTTCAACGGGCATGTTGGTGAGGGGAACAAAGGTGATGAGGAGGTGATGGGCAGGTTTGGTGTTAAGGGAAGAAGCATAGAAGGACAGATGGTGGTGGGCTTTGCTAAGAGGATGGAAATGGTTGTAGTTAACACCTATTTCCAGAAGAGGGAAGAACATAGAATTACATATAAGAGTGGAGGAAGGAATACGGAGGTAGACTACATTCTATGTATACAAGGCAATCTGAGAGAGATTAGTGACTGCAAAGTGGTGGTAGGAGAGAGTGTAGCCAGACAACATTGGATGGTGGTGTGTAGGATGACTCTGGTGGTCAGGAAGAAGAGGAGAGGAAAGATCGAACAGAAGAGCAAGTGGTGGAAGTTGCAAAAGAAAGAATGTCATGAGGAATTCAGACAGAAGTTGAGACAGGCTGTGGGTGGTCAGGAAGAACTTCCAGATGACTGGGAAACTACAGCAGAAGTGATCAGGGAGACAGGTAGGAAGGTGCTAGGTGTGTCATCTGGAAGGAGGAAAGAAGATAAGGAAACATGGTGGTGGAACAAGGAAGTACAGGACAGCATTCAGAGGAAGAGGCTAGCTAAAAAGAAGTGGGACGTAGAAAGGACTGAAGACAGTAGACAGGATTACAAGAAATTGCAGCGTAGAGTGAAGAGGGAGGTGGCAATGGCCAAACAGAAAGCATATGATGAGTTGTATGCCAGGTTAGACATGAGGGAAGGTGAGAAGGACTTGTACAGATTAGCGAGACAGAGAGATAGAGATGGGAAGGATGTGCAACAGATAAGGGCGATTAAAGACAGAGATGGAAAGGTGCTAACAAGTGAGGAGAGTGGGCAGAGAAGATGGAAGGAGTATTTTGAGGAACTGATGAAAGAGGAAAATGAGAGGGAAAGAAGGGGGAA